GGAAGTAGGATTGCCCAACCTTCCTTCCGAGGAGTGGCTGGTGGGTTTGAGCCGCCAGTCGTCTGGTTAGCAGGCAAGTGTCTTAGCCACTATGCTACCAGAGCTCCTTTATTAGAAAAGTGAAACCCTCAGGCGCATTGCTACCCTCGAAGATATGGTTGTTGGTGTAGCAGCTATTAAAGTGACTCTCCTTAAGGCCAAATATCCCTATTTCCTTCAATATTTCTTTGAACAACATGATATTATCTCCCTTTTCTCCAAATTGTTCCTTTCTAAATAAATTCAATTCTTTGAGAGAACTTTTTTTGGGGGGAGTATTTTATCAACTGATATTAATCTCCATACCCATAAATGTCACTGCAAGATATTATTTCTCTTCTCTCTATTGCTGAGGAAATTTCTTCCCTTCCCCTCCCTATCTCTACTGTCCCCATATTTGGGCCTCTGGCAAAGCCCAGCGAGGGAGCAGGCAATAAGCATGGATACTTTCTGGATCAACAGCAAGGAGAAGACGAGGTAGACCTCAGACATTAGGATGTGTCTGGGAAGCATCCTTCTTCATTCTGGTAGGATGTCAGCTCATCCTCAGTAACAGTCTCTCCTCCCTGTGCTCTCCATTCATTCTTCCGGATTTCACAATTCTGGGTCGTGGCCCCATAAGACATCTTCTTTTTGGGACTTGCAAAATTCTCGTGGTTGAGTTCTGTTTCCTCAGCTAATTCATCTCGGTCAATGATTCCGCACTTCTCCTCAGAGAGATTCTCAGGGTCAGCCCACTCCTGTTTCTCCCCAGAAGCAAAGACCCCATAGAAGATCACACCACTGTAGTGTACCACGGCAGCTATGAGGAACACATTTTGCCATTCCTCCCGGGTCTACACAAGGAAATAAAATGACAATTAATGCTTTAACCAAAAGCAAAGATTAACAGTATGTTCTGGAGGCCTCCATTTGGAAAAAAGTACCCGCCCACCTCCAAGGCAATGCTGTACTTCCTGAGAAGATATGTGTCAGAAGCAACACCCAGGATTCATAAATGTGTCAGACAGAATTTGAGTGTTTAAAAATGAAAAGTTGTGAGACTTCAATGAATTTTTTAAACAATATTTTTAAAAACAAACAACATGTAAAAACACGTGCAGCATTATTACAAAGTTCTTCTAAATATACAAATGGGTGGCCTCTCACATAGTAGGTTAAATTAAACTTGCTTTAGGAACCCACCATTTTAAATATCAGTGGTCTCCTTATTGCTTGCTATTGGATACGTTACAATATTTGCACCACTAAAATGTTCATCCTTGACTATATTATTTGCAATCATAATTTCTATGTAAAATACAGTAAGTAAAAATAAACTGGAATTTGTGTTCAGAGTTAGGGAAAGGTGAGTATCATAGTCATGTTTCCAATCCTACTGACTCATAAACAGAAAGGAAAAACATGAGTTCAATGCTTATAAAACCTATAAAAATCTATAAATCCCACCTTCCTTTTTGATAAAGAGTAAGAAAAGTCACCCCACACTTTCATCTCTAAAAAACCAGAAGAATTTCTGAAGTCATATATGTAATAAGCAATCCAACTAAGAAAATAGTGTTAGGATTTTTAAAAAAAAAAATGTTTTCTAAATTTCTGCAAAAAATAATTCTTATTTACAGAGAGTAGCATCCTGAAACTCTTTCAGTGACAGAAAGAAAGGAGTCCCATGGCCTGTGGTTGAACTCTGGATGGTGGGATCCTCCTCTATCACCCACCTGAGTCTAAATACACAAAGGTTCAGTAAAGATTGGGTGCCACACCCTTGTTGGTTCTTAGGAAGGGCCATTAATGCGTTGCTTATTTGCACAGAATGCGGAAGTATAGCAGCACTCATAGTTTCATGCAACATACTAAGCAACTAGATGGGAATGGCCTGCAAAGTTCAATCACTTCAAATTACAAAACAATCTTGAGTAGTTCGTTTATCCTAAATTCAGTTTCTGCTTTGTGTCTCTAACCAGTCTCTATGGCGATTGCCCTGCCCCCGCTTTCTGTTTCTCAATTGAGGAAATGAGAAACTAAATAAGAATCAGCCCTATTCCCTACAATAAACAATGATTTGAAGAAATAATAATAAAGAAATAAAAAAGAAGTTCAATTGACTCAGCCATGGTCAAGGACGCACACTCCACAGATTTACAGGATGCAAAGGGCCTTGAGGTCTCATGTGTGTGCATGCTTCAGTCTTCTGACACTGTAGCTCACAGCCCCCAGGGAAACCATTACCTTGTGCTTGGTCATCGCCCCAACAATGAGGGGACAGACCATTCCAGAGAGGGTTCCCACGCCATTGGAGATCCCCATGAGAATGCTGGCATAACGGGGAGCAATGTCCAGGTGATTGACATTGAAACCTGCAGTGAAGCCAATACCCCAAAGTCAGAGTCAAGAACAGAATTTCAAATACACTTTGGAACATATAAATATTTGCCCAATTTCCTTCAACTCTCGTCAGTGGCTGGGCGATACAAATGGTTAAGTGCTGGACTACTGGCCAAAAGGTGGGCAGTTAGGACCCACGCAGAAGAAAGGCATGGTGCTCTCCTCTGGAAGGTGACAGCCTTGAAAGTCCTATGGGGCACAGTTCTACTCTGCACACGTGGGTTCACTGCAAGTCAGAATCGACTCAACAGCAACTAAGACAACTCTCATCGATATACTTGGTTTCCTCTGTTGTTGTTGTTATTTGCCATCGAGTTGGCCCCAACTCATAGCAACCCCTCCTTGGGTTTCCAAGGCAGTATCACTACGGAAGTAGGAATGCCCAACCTTCCTTCCGAGGAGTGGCTGGTGGGTTTGAACCGCCAGCCTTCTGGTTAGCGGTCAAGTGCCTTAGGCACTATGCTACCACATGACTAATGGATGCCTCCACCTAGAGGGCTAGATTGAGGATGGTCAGTCTGGGTCTGCACATAGCAGAAAACTTTGTTAGAAACATCTTCCATGAGTTCTCAGTACGTCCTCTCTGCTTATAGGTTCAGAACTCCAAAATATGGTGTTTTATCTTAAACCTGGACCATATTTATTTAGAGTAAACAATCACACAATCCTTTACAATGTGATTAGAACCAAACCCTGCTTCACAATATCATCCCTCTTAGCCCCCAACTCACTCTCAACCAGCCACCATAGTTTAGGCATGCGTGAATGACCACACGCCATAATGGAAAGAGTGCTTTTTCAGTAATGAACGTTTGAGCAAACATTAGCAGACCCTCTATAATTTACAAAATCCTTGATTCAGAGTCTGTAAATCTAGCTTTGAAGCTTATTTCCATCACTTAAGTAATTTTTAGGCCTTTATTTCTTCATTTATAACACGGGGATAAGGAGACCTGGTGGAGCAATGGTTAAGCTGTGATTTATTTGCAGTGTCTCAGCTGCTGACAAAATGTTGACAGTTTGAACCTACCCAACAGCTGTGCAGAAGAGAGGCCTGACAATCTGCTGAAGTAAAGGTTACAATCTAGAAAACTCTATGAAGCAGTTCTGCTCTGTCACATGGGTTCGCTCTGAGTTGAAATCAACTCAATGGCACCTAACAACAACAATAATAAACCAAAAAAAAAAAAAACAACTCACTGCCGTCGAATCCATTCAACTCAGAGCAACCCCTCCTTGGGTTTCCGAGGCAGTATCACTACAGAAGTAGATTGTCCAACCTTCCTTCCGAGGAGTGGCTGATGGGTTTGAACTGACAGCTTTCTGGTTAGCAGTCAAGTGCCTTAGGCACTATGCTACCAGAGCTCCCATCAACAATAATAGAGGGATTATATTACCTCATAAAGATGCTGTGATATGAGATGCAGGAGAAGAAGGTATGTGAGAGCCCTTGGCAAATAGCTAAGCCACGCTCACTCTTGCTGCTGCTGCTTCTGCTACTGCTAATAAGCATCTCCTTTTTTTTTTTTTGAGGTCTTTTATGGAAAGGTAATGCTACTGGACTTTCCCTTTTATATTCGTAGAAGCATTTCTAATATACTATGATTAAAATCATCTAATAAAAGTATGTGTAAGCCAAAAAGACTGGGAGCACAGACACGAAGTTTCTACTAGTTATATTAAAATGGGATTATAAATGATTTAATTTAATCTCCATTCTCAAATGTTTTGTGCTATGATTACTTTAATAATGAGAAAATTTATTTGTATATCCAAATATGATTACTAATTCTAATTTCTATGAATGCCTCAACTGTCTAATTCTGAGACATGGCTAATGTAATCTGTATTTCAGTGATAAAAGAGAGCACCTATTTCTTTTACAACAACAAAAGATAATGCTTCTGGAAGTGGTAAAATACTATCACCAACAGCTCTCTCTTAATCCATTTATCAAGAGATAAGAATGAGTAGAATGAAGGGGAAGAGGGACGCAGGGGAAGGTTTCAAAAGAGGAGGCTTCAGGTTCTGGAAACCAACTTTGTCAGCATTACCCGGGAGTGCATTCTTAGAGGCAGACAGACCTCGACTATAGCCGAGTAATTGAAATGCAAAACTGGACAAGGAACTTAAATTTCCTGAAACTTCTTCTTCTTCTTTTTTTTTTTTTTTTGATGAAAATATGCACAACAAAGCATACCCCTCTTCGATAATTTTGATGCACACAGTTCACTGACAACAAAGCATGCCCCTCTTCGATAATTTTGATGCACACAGTTCACTGACAATGGCTATGTTACTTCACATTGTGTCACTTTCTCCCCATCTCCACCTCAGACAGTTTCACTATCAATTTAGACTCTGTGCCCCTTAAAGTTCTCATCTGTGTTTTGAGTTACTTTTGTCCAATTAATCTCATATAAATAATTCTTTAAAGGAAATATACACTTTATAAAGTTAATCAGAGGAAAAATAGGGCAAACTTAGGGGCTTTAATTTATGGTATAAATAGACTATCAAGCATAAACCAAAATGCACAAACAGCAGAAGATAAAGTAGATGATTGAGATCCTCTAAAAATTAAATTCTTATGTACATCAAAAGACTTCCCCAAAAGAGTAAAAAGAGAAATTACAGATTGGGTGAAAATATTTGGCAATGACATATCTGACAAGGTACTTATCTGTAAAACTGATAAAAATTCCAACACCTCAACATCAAAAAGATAAACAATCCAGTTAAAAATGGGTAGAAGATATGAACAGACATGTCACCAAAGAAGATATCCAGGCATCCAACAAACACATGAAGAAATGCTCATGATCATTAGCCATTTGTTGTTGTTTGCCGTCAAGTTGGCCCCGACTCATAGCGACCCCACCTTGGGGTTCCGAGGCAGTATCACTACGGAAGTAAGAATGCCCAACCTTCCTTCCGAGGAGTGGCTGGTGGGTTTGAACCGCCAGCCTTCTGGTGAGCAGTCAAGTCCCTTAGTCACTATGCTACCAGAGCTCCCATTAGCCATTAGAGAGATGCAAATCAAAACAACCATGAGATAACATCTAACCCCAGCATTAATAGCCACATTCAAGAAGACAGAAAATAACAAATGCTGGCAAAGGTGTGGAGAGATTGGGACTCCCATACATTGCTGTTGAGTCTGTACAGTGATATAACCACTGTGGGAATTGGTATGGCAATTCCTTAAAAAGTTGGAAATAGAAATGCCATTTGATCCAACAATCCTATTACTAGGTGTATATCTTAAAGAAGCAAGAGGCAGGACACAAATAGATTCACACACACCCATGTTCATCACAGTACTATTCACGACAGCAAATAAATGGAAACATCTTAAATGCCCATCAACAGAGGAATGGATAACCAAACTATGGTACATACACACAATGAAATACTATGCAACCCTAAAGAATAACATAGAATCTGCAAAACATGATATAACGTGGATGAACTTGGAGCACAGAGTGAAATAAGTCAGTCACAGAAGGACAAGTATTGTATGAGTCCACTACTGTAAAAAGTCAAGGAAAAGTGTATATATGGAAGGAAACTTCCTTTGTTGGCTACCATGGATGGGAAGAAAGTGGAGGGAAAATTGCCAGATAAATAAGAGACAAGTATTGATTTGGATGAAAGGAAAGGCAATACACCAAAAGTGAGTGACTAACACAACTAACACTAAGGAAAAGGAAGACACAGATAGGTGCACAAGAAGTACAGACAACAAAGATAAACACTTTCACAAACACAATACTGCATTATCAGTAATAACAAACATTAATCTACAGATGGATACATAAGTAGATAGGTTGAATGATCAGATATGTCTAGACAAAAGAGAATATATCCATGACCATATGTAAGTTTGGCAGATGATATTTCTACATACATATTTGTATGTGCTATAAAAATGTCTATATAAATAGAACTAACAGAGAGCAAACATGATAACTTCTTAGCCACAGCCAACTACCTTAAGGGAACAAGTTGTTGGGCCTGTGGGCTTGGGACCATGGTCATGAAAGACATCAAGCTCAATTGGCATAACATGCTACACAAAAACATTGTTCTACATTCTACTTTGGTGAATAGTGACTGGCCTCTTAAAAGCTTACTAGCAGCCATCTAGATGCAACAGTTGGTCTCTCCTCATCCAGAGCAAAGAAGACTGAAGAAAACCAAAGACACATGACACAATTAGTCCAAGGGATTAGTGGACCATGCGAATCACAGCCTACATGAGCCTGAGACCAGAACAACTAGATGGTGCCCAGCAACAACTGTCAACCACTTAGAAAGGGATCAGTACAGGAGATCCTGGACAGAGTGGGAGAAAAATGTGGAGAAAAAGTCAAAATCATGAAAAAGACCAGGCTCACTGCTCTGACAGAGACTGGTGAAATCCCCGAGACTATGGCCCCTAGTCACTCTTCGGGCCTGGAATTGTACTCACTCCTGTGCCTTCCAGGCAAACCACATTGTTGTTGTTGTTAGGTGCCATCAAGTCGGCTCCAACTCATAGTGACCCTATGTAGAACAGAATGAAATACTGCCCGGTCCTGTGCCAGCCTCACAGTGCTTACTATATCAGAGCCCATCAGTGCAGCCACTGTATCAGTCCATCTCATTGAGGGCCTTCCCCTTTTTCGTTGACTCCCCACTTTACTGAGCATGGTATCCTTCTCCAGGGAATGATCCTTTCTGACAACATGACCAAAGTAGGTCAGGCGAAGTCTGGCCATTCTCACATCCACAGAGCATTCTGGCTGCACTTCCTCCAGGACAGATTTGTTAGTTCTTCTGGCCATCCATGGTACTTTCAGTATCCTTTGCCAATATCACAACTCAAAAGCATCAACTCTTCTTCGGGCTTCCTTATTCATTGTCCAGCTCTCACATGCACATGAGGTGATTGGAAATACCATGGCTTGGGTTAGGCAAAACTTAGTTT